CCGCTTGTACCGCACTGGTGTGAAGCTGGTGAAGTGCTACGCAGAGAAGTTACTGTGCTGCTCAGGTGGTGGTCACCAATAGAACCTGTAACTTGCCGGTGCCTCCAACGAAGGAAGCTCAACCGACAGGGGCCAACTCACACTGCATACACAAATTCGTGTGCTACTGCGGAAACAGTTACATAGGCAGAACCAATCGGTCTTTGACTTCCCGAATAAAGGAACATGTGCCAAGATGAGTTCAACGTGAAATTGACCAGCATCCCAGTCCCACTGAAGTCCCGTGCTTGCGCAAGCCGCCAGCTTCCTCAATAGGTAAACACCTACTGACTACGCGTCACCGGATAGAGCTTGGATCAGCGTTCACACTTGTATTACGTCACCCTAATCCCCGCTTCCTCCGGTTCGCCGACGCCGTTGCGATAAGCCGGATGAAGCCGACCCTGTGTGTTCAAAATCAATTATTTATCAGTTTAAGACTGCCGTGGATATAGGGGTGAAACTTCTGCCATTCATTTTGCACCCCATGCTTATTCGGTCACACACATATTTAAGTATATAGTTGCATACCGGTTGTTGTTAATGGTACTGAGGAGACAATACGAAATGCATGCATCTACCAGTTTTCGTCTTCTTACCGTGCTTTTCAAACTATTGTCATCTGCTTGATTGTCAACTAAATCGTCTGTATGTATGAGGAACGCTTCCTTAAATTATGCCACTAATGACTGTAATGGGGTGTACAAAGAAATCGTCTACTTGTACTACCGTTTCTGTTTGGGATGCAGGATGGCCATCATGAGAGTAGCGGTCCTCTGATGCTAGTAGATTGTACCTCGTTTAACAACCCTAAATGTGGTACTCTGACGAAACTTTCACGCATACCAATTTGCATCGATTTAGCCTACATGGCTTCATAGATAGCTGTTGGGCGGATAAGAAAATACAGTAAATACGCCGCACTTCACCGAGCCTGCAAAATTAACTTTCATGTGACTAAGAAATCATGCGGTTATCATTGAAATCTTCTTTCCATTGTTCACTGGGTAACTGGAGTACGATTTATTGGCGGGTATTTCATAACTTCCCGAGCCGCTCCACCATAAGATATTTTTCATTGCATGGGAAATTCCTCATTGTCAATCTGCCATTTGACAACGATGTTCAACAAGAGCACACGAAGACCATGACTAGCATGTTTGATCGGGCTTTGGTGAAGACCATCGGGTCTTTGATAAGGTGATAGGAAGAAGTGCGAAATTTGTGCTTCTACCTTTGCAATGGTGAACTGGTTGCAGAAGTTTATATTGGTGGGCGAGCTGAGAATACTAGGTATAGGTGCTGACTCTGTCACTAAGGATTACGCGAAGCAGGTGCTGAAAGCCTCACAAATATCCTCTACATTTTCCATGTATGAAACATTCTGCTTGATCACAAATTTTAATGGGTCGATCTGGCCATTGCTACGAGCACAGAATACATTTGAAAGTTTGTTCATACCACCTAGAGATTTACGCTCAATGGTCAATGGTATAATACGGATAAAAAAGCCGAAGCTTGTCATGTCACGCTGGATGGTCGGTTGAGGGTGTGCAAAATAAAGGCAAAAATGGCAACAGAAAATAGTGAGCAACTGCAAATTGCGAACTTTCCGATTACAGCGTTCCCGTCTGTTTTTGGTACTATCCAAGGTAATCGTCTGTGGTTTCCGGGCAAAAACGGAGTTGGGCTGGTGTGTTTTTGTTTTTCTGCTGTTTGTATGGGTCATTTGGATTAGGTGATATGGTGTAGTGTGGCCAGTCTACTGTCGACACGTGCTTTGAACACGGCTAATGTGGCGGCTGAAATAACAGCTTCTGAGAGGGTATCCCACTTGTGGCAAACACGCAGGGAGAAATTTATTCGACACTCCACCCGACTGTATTGTTCTGCCAATTTGAGATGACGACCTCTTAATTGGCTGTTGTGACTCAGCTTCAATAGATGATGGCAGGGGTGATTAGTGTTGTTTAATATTTGGTAAACCATGATTAGGCCACCATGCAAACGGCGATAACGCCTACTGAAAAAACCAAGCACTCTGAGGCGCTGTTCGTATGACAATTGGTGCAGCCGCTTTACCTTTTTGGTCACCCGACATTGCGGAATGTCTAAGGCAGTGAGATTCCGCTTTAGCAATGGTTGCCATGCTTGAATTGCATATTCTACACGAGGGCGTAAGCAAGCGAGTAATACTTGACAGGAAATAGACGGTTCGGATTGCCAGAAAGCTCTCCATAAAAGCCCAACGATTTGGGTCCCCTTCTTCGATGCGCTTTTGGACTGCTCCGATCAGCCGAGGTCTTTCTGGACCAACACACCGAGACCCATTTCGAGAGAACAGTGTTGCAGATCCTGGTCCCCCAGCTTATGTGTGAACTATTCAGTGTCTTAAATGGAGCACTAGACATTCAGCCACATTAAAGAAACGGTGATTTGGGACAGCTCAAGGTCGATTTGAAGCTGGATACGGTCTTCTGGAGCTCTGAGCACTCGCGAAACTTTGAGGTCATCAGCAATGAGTAAACAATTTGACGCAAGCTGACTCACCAGGTCGTTTATAAAGACCAAGAATGGTTGGGGCCACAATGCCGAACCATATATCACACCGCATTCGACGGGAGTTAGGTCTGATATTGATCCACGTACTCTCACCACCAGACGCCTTTGCAAGAGAAAATTACAGATCCACCCGAGGACAGCGTCCTCAATGCCATGTCCTTGAAGTTTGGCGAGAAAGATACGATAATCCAAACGGTCGGATGCTTTAGAGAAGTCAAGGTAATCCACAGCAACTCCTTCATCGGCGTCCACAAATTCGGTTCAGCTGTCTAGTGCTAACAATAGATGGTTTGTAGACGATCGATTCTAGCGGAAGCCGTGTTGCTGCTGAGCAATGTAATCAAAGCCGTCCAGATAAGACAGGATTGCATCGGAAATGATAGCCTCTATAACTTTTGAAAGAACTGGCAGTAGACTCACTGGTCGATAATTAGCTGGGTCGGAACGACTACCCCCTTTATAAAAGGGAGTTATTATTTCGTGTTTCCACATTGCCGGAACGTGCTGTTCGTCAAGGCAGTGATGAAACAGCCGCTCCAAAGGTTCAGCCGAAATACTAGCCGCCGTAGCAAGCGTCTTTGGGCGGATGTCGTCAATTCCTGGACAAGCGTGCAGGTGCATGAATGGCAGCTTTCTCATCACAATGTCTGCCGTAACAATTATATGAGTGAGTCATGGTGTGCGCACCATAGATTCCAAAGATTCAGGAGACCACGGAGCGTAATGAAACGTTGATGAATATTATGGTTACAGAACATTCGACGCTTCGACGCAGTCTGAGTTAGACCATCTGCTGTTTGAAGTGACAGAAATCCACTTTTTACCTTGTGGAGGCTGTTCACGTATTTGTATAGAAGCTTGGGCTTTGCACTTTATTGTTCGGCTAAAGCATGTTGATCAGCTATTTGGTCCTCGCGCATTAACTGGGTAAGTGGTTACGGTGGACAACATATGCCTTCCAGGTATTCGGACTCGGATCGGTTTTGTGCGTATACCACGCTGCGTTGCGCACCACCATGCTTTTGCAGGTCTTATTTTGTATAAACGAAGTTGTGTTTGTAAGTAGCAGGCAACTATTACATACTTTCCACCTCGATTGGTGGCGGCTTGCAAAGGGAGCCGTTGCTCTGGGGGCCAGCCCTGTCGTCTGCACATAATAACACGCAAGACAGTGGAGGATGAACCACGATATATAGCAGTTAGATATCAGTCATGTCGGTCCGCTGCCGACGCCCATGGCCCAGTGACGTAAGTCGCTGACGCGCAAGAGTAAGGTCGTGGGTTCGACTCCGGCAGGATTCGGCGGGTGCGCGCTACTGACGAGTCCCAAGAGGACGAAACGACAGTCTGACGTCATATTTCTAGAACGGATAGTCTTGGTTTCCGATGTTCCACAAACCAGGGTGTTAAACTTACTGGCGAAACGTTCCCAGTCATGGTGCATGCTCTGGTAGGAAACTCCAGTCGGCCGATTCAACTAGTCGAGTTAAGGTGTCGTAACTGGTTACGTTTCGCGTTGTTAGAATTCGGTCATCGGGATATGCAGCATGGCAAGTGTATATAAATGCAAAGTCGCATGAGCACTGTGACCTAGAGGAGTATCGATTATCCCGCCCCCGATGAACAATTCTTCACTGAGGAATATTCGGTCCAATATGGATGGCCTGTTATTTCTCCTGAATCTAGTGGGCGTTGTGACGTAACCGTAAAGCGGAAAATATGAGATAAAAGCCCGTGTTAAATTGCTCTCCTGGTGTGGCCTTGGATTTCAGAGCATGTAAGTTGAAATCGCCGGCGAATAGAACTTGACAGTACTTCCTGCTTATCACCTGCCTCAATGCAGCCACCAAACTGCAGTCCATCTCAGGTGTAGACGATGGTGATCGGTAAACATCAACCACTAAACCAAGATGGTTCCCTCCCAGCCGGAAGCTTTACCAAATAGGCAGGTACATCAGTTTCCGAATCGTGTATGAGTTCGCACTGCTGGACCGACCATTCCGGACATCAGACATACCTGTTAGCGCGATTTCAGCATCCGTTATTTCACAGCGCAACAACTTTGCGTGACAGCGATGAGGTCCCCAACGGCTGACGCGTTTCGATGTCTTAATGTAGCTAGTTTGCTTGGTACACCTTTGGCATTTGTGTACATGTATGAGAGATTCTCGGAGACCAAAAGTATGTTGGGTGCAATGGATGAAGAAGGTCAGCGGCTAATCGTTTTTTGGATGGGTTGCAAACTCTCGAGATGAATTTGGTATATATGCAAGTATCAGATTCGCTCGTGCTCTGTTGCGTACCTTCGGATGTTATAGCTACTGCTGCAACCGTCACCGAGTCTGGTTCTACAGTTGGTGTTTTCGTTGAGAATTGCGCCCCCACTGAGTTGTCATTAGAAGGTGATGGTGTTCCTTTTGCTTTTAGATGAATTTCTGTTGGCAACCTGCTAAGGAATTTAGACCAGTTCTTTAGAGGAGTTTGTGCCGTTAGTTCTGATTGCAACATCAGTTGCAACAGCCCGGGACCGCACCCCTTATTGTTTGGGGACACGGACAAACTTGTCAACGAGTTGGCCAAGACGTTTTCGAGAGAAAGAGTCTCACGGCTGTAGTGCCATTGCTTCCAGTCTTGTAACTGAGCATCGTCGGAAGAAGAGTCAGTAAGCTCAGGAACATCCTGAGCAATCACACATTTCTTACATTGACTTTTTCTGTTCCTCTCTCTGTTAGTTAGATTCGCTGCACATGCTTTCCACGGGATATGAGGTCGTATATGCACTCCACTTGAGGCGTTTCGGAGTCAATTTGCGGAAAGCAGAAAAGCCTCTGTCTCATCCACTGAGTTCAGTGTTACTCGAAGTAACCGGGGTTCACTGTAGTGAAATGCGTATGGGTGACGCGAGATTCTTTCTAGTGTTGTAGAATCAGCAAGGACACCGATCACCGTACAGATAGAGCTCCATTGATTTCGATCGTCTGTCAGCCTACCCTTAATTGTATTGGATTTTAATTCGGGAATATTGGCGCACACAAGGTTTAAGGCATCATGGTGGCGCCTGATGGCAACTGGTTTTGTCGACTTAGTTTTTTGTGCTTTTCGTGAATTTGTGAACGGCATTAATGGGGGCCATCCGTGCTGCTACCTTTTACTGTTCTCTAGTGCGGTCACCTAGGTTACCAGTGCTATTTCCTGTGTTTGCTTGGCGACAACCGATGCGTATAATAGCTGGTTCCTCAATACGGCTGGTTGACTGTAGCTTAGGGTCTCCTGTATAGCGAACAAACTACTAAATGTAGTACACTGTACAGAAGTTATAGCAGGCACGCTGCAGACAATGTTTCTGTTTATGGGAGAGAGACAGGAGTTGGTACGGATTGAGACTGAGTCGTTGGGGTAATGTTGGAACGCCTGGCTCTCTTCTTCTGCCTGAAGGGGGAATTCGGGGTGCTAATTCACATACAAGTACAGTTCCTTTTCCTTTCATATGTGCAACCCAGGATCACACCAGTGGCTCTACTGCTTCTATTAGCCTTTCACAATACTTCAGCAGCACAGTTACACAGCTAACAACTGGAATGGCACTGCATATTGGGCGGAACATAAAAGCATCTTTCGTGCTCTTGTACTGTCTCGATTTTATCGACTCCGTCATTAGACACTTTTGTGAAGGTCTTCAAGTAACTGCTGCAATCTAGCCCAATCATCACCAATTAAACACACAACGCACACTTGCTCTTAATAGGGACATGCTAGCTGAGAGGGTGAAGTATTAGGCGCGCGCGTTTGTCGTATGATCAGCTAGTGTAGCTTCCCGCGTCAAAGATAAACGTGAGATAGCTTGGCGCGTCCGCTGTCAGTGGTGATCTCTTCTAAGCATATGTTGCAGTGTCCATCGGTCGAATGAGAGATGACAGGCTGGGGTGTTTCGGGACTTAAACTGTGGTCGGGACATATCTACCGACTGTCATGGATGCATCGTAAACTGCTGCACTTTGCGCGCCCTGAGAAAACCCCGAGGAATTCTAACGGCAGTCCGGAGATCCAATCGGATCTCACACAATGCACTACGCACACAAGTGCGGCGTCTGCCTACCGCAACTTCCACACCGCTTCACGCGATGAGGCGCAGACTAGGGATACTTGTAAGCTCGATATATTCTGGTCAGTGTTTGGGGACAGAATGTTTCGCGGAAATCTGGATGCCTGTGGGCTCTGTACTGACCGATGTTTAGCCGTAGCATTGAAGTTACCGTTACGTACAGGGTCTAATGTGGTAAAAATATATGGACATCGCGTTAGCGGACGGACGTACACGTGGTGCACAACTACTGCAATTTCATCGCAGCTATGTTCCCATCAAAGTAGCCAGACTGACGTACACGTGAGAAGTCAGTTTTCGATATGCTCGTATTTGTATCATACGCAATGTCAAAACACAGTTACAGTAGGCACGCCGGTAGACTGAAAACTAGCTTCCTAAGAAGCACTGTAGGCAATAAGCACCAGTTTCGACTAGAGCTTTTACCTTAGAAACAATAACGATTTGAGAGTATTTGGCTTTCCTGTTAAGTGAGCCAAGTTCTATCTGGAATATCGCTTTCCTAAATAACCTATGATACTTAAAGAGTACCCGGTCGTTTCAGTTCAGTTTAGTGTGGTTGCTAAATCGTGATCTAGGCACCAAAGTGCTGTGGATGCAGTTGCCACGATTCGCGTCGCCAATGGCACAAATGAAGAATCATAAGTAAATGCGGTTAGACTCAAATGTGGTATTAACAGAATGGAAGCAAGACCGAGGTGTATGAAGCTAATCGCATTGCAGTATGAACAGCTACACGCAAGAGAACGAATCTATGGGCAGCACTGACTCTGACAATGCGCCACGTCCGATAGAGTCTCTAACCATGGGTTTGGACTAACACGAGGCCCCCATCTACGAAGACGGCAAGTACCTGTTTGACCAAGTCTCTCGGTCAATTTCAGAGTGAAGCATGGGGAATTTACCATAGTTTTATCAGAGCTTCATTATCACACATACTATTAATGGTACCAGAAAGTATTAATAGAAGAATGCAGTTAACCCCAATGCATCTCTCCCGTAATAGTGAGCAATCTGAGAATACGCAGTGGACCTCACTTTATGTTAAATTTGAAGGTTTCTGCACAGATATAGGTTTGATAGGTTACCGGGTTGCTCTCGTTATTTTTTGTCAAAAACACAGACTTGTATCATGTGGACTTAACATGGTTGTAACGGCGGTCACAACGGTTAACCCGTTTGCAACTGGGATCCGATTATGAATTCACAACCCCACTCACCAAGCGATTAGTGCAGAATGTTATCATTTGCGCGAAATATTTTTTCTAATTTTGTGGCTGAGCGGCAAACCGCTCAGAGATTCTCATGATCTCATCCACAACTTCAACTGCAGAGAACAATTGTTATCGGTTTGAGGTGCATTGTATCAAACACGTACCAGCGTCACAGCAAGGTACGTATTCACCCGTCATCGAGTTGTGTGCAGTTTGTCCAAACAATGGGATGCAAAGATGCACGGTGGAACAAGCAGAATTTATGCAGCATAAATGAATCGCCTTAGCTAAAAGACCGGAACTCAACACACTGGGACCAGTAGGTACACAACCTCATTTCACGGGTTTACTTTTCATTGAAAGGACGTAATCTTCGTCGGTTTCGTACACCCCAGGTTCAGGTTATGGATAAACGGAATACATTTTGCCGTTAGTTTTTGGATCCCATGTGCATTCTCTCCGTAATGTTTGCGGGTGAGTCCGTTTTCCATTTGCACGGAACGGACAAATAACATTTCTGAGCTAGTTCAAATCCACGCAGATACACAGCGTCACGTATTCAGCATAGCGCTAACCTGATGATCTGGGATGGAATTACCGGTCATAAAATCGCTGGACCATTTCTTTTTCCAGGAACGTGACAGGTAATTTGCTTAATATTACTCAACCCTTACTTTTGCTAGCACCGTCTTACAACGAACTGCCCCAGACTTGCGTAATGCCACAGTTCGAGGCGGATGGTTGCAGCACGATGATGCATCAGCACATTATGCTCAATCGGTGCGAGAATATCTCTGAGAGAAATTCGGCCGACGTTGGATCAGTCGTGGAGGCCCCATCGAGTGGCCCCCACGGTCACCAGATTTAAACCCGCTGGATTTTTTTCTCTGGGGATATTAGAAACGAAGGGTTTATAGAAACAAGCCGATTTCCCTTTGAACAATTGTAGTAGAATATTGGGAATGAATGCCAAGCCATTACCACCGTGACGTTGCAGAAAGTACTTGTTAACCACATCAAGCGATTTCCGTACTGTAGCCAGAATGCAGGTGGACACTATCAACATCTCTTTCCATGATATCTATGTCCGTCTAGCCCAGCTTCTGTAAATAGATATGTCAAGAATCTATTGCATACGAACTTAATTTTCTCAGCATTGCCTGATTCTTCAGCAGTCTATGCCACTCCGAACGCCGTGATAATTTAGGGGTATCCGATGCGTAGGTTAGAGTCTACGTGTTGGAGCCGTTGATGCAAATGTTCTCCAATTCACACCGGAGCCAAAGATAAGAGATAATCGGGTGGCTCAGATGCGTCGTTTATAGACAAATTAGTGATCGGTCATAGCTCAATTGCACACCAAGCTTCTTGCTTGTAGCAGAGGCCTCTGTTTGGTACCGTGTAACTTATCGATTCGTGTCAATGCGCTTAGTCTATGCAACCTTGCTGATCCATATTTTGCTCCGCCATGTCTACGTTTGTGAGCTGCTATCCAGATGACCAAGATACTTGGTGAGGCAGGTATTTCAACATGGCAATTGTTAATTTTACCGTAAAAGGAATGAACCTATCGTTTTAACACAGTAGTCCTTCTCTCCGCACACATGATTTGGGTTGTTTAGAATCAGGTATGCCATTATCAGGTCGCACTGAACATGTCGGAAAATGGAGATGTCGAACTGTCCGAATGCCCGTTTAAGCAAACCGACGTGTTGATTACCGGTTTTCGATGCTTTCTCGGATAGCTGGGAACAACTCACGTCATCCTGTACCAGCACGCCTAGGTTGCGTTCGACGGACGATCGCTGCAGTACTTGCGTTCCGAGCATGTAGCCTTAGGTACTCTGTTGTTGTTTGGAGAGTACCTTGCATTTGCTTACGTCAAAACTCAGCAGCTTTTTGTTTGGCCACTACTGTACCATATCCAAGTCATGCTGCAGCATATCCACATCGGCCTCCGACTGAATCGTGCGTTATATCTTGATGTCGTCAGCAAACATTAGAAAACTTGAACCCATCGTCGGTGCCAGGTTGCTGACAAACGCCAAAAACAATCGTGGCCCTTGTACAGAGCCCTGAAGCATACCGCATTCGACATGTGTGGGGTCTGATAACGAGTTTCGAACTCTAACCACTAGATGCCAATCCAGGTGAAAAGGGGGTCACCGATGTCATAACACTGCAGCTTGGAGAGAAGAATCTGTTGATCCAGGCGGTGGAATGCCTTCGAGAAATCATAGTAGACGACATGGACGTTCTCTTCTGCGTTAGCTGACTCGCTCCTGCTACTCCGGGCTATCAGTAAATTTGTTGTGCACGATCGCTGTCAACGAAATCTACTTTGCTCGATAGCAATGATGATGCAGTTTTCCGGAGAGCACACTAATGCATCGGTAACGATGGACTCCATGATTGGACAGTATGGATGATGCGATAATGCTGAAAGAACTGCGCCAGCGGTACTGCCAATTGTCGTGACGCTGCCCCAGTGTTTCTGGGCGAGTAATATCGACGCCAGGGGAGCTGTGTTTGAGCAGACGTAAGCTTCTGCAGGGCAGCTTCCGCGGTAAACGTGATATGGTTGAGTTCCTGCGTTGGGTAACAAAATATGGAAGATCACCTGGTGACAAGATCCTTTGAAATATAGGTTCGTATTACGTCTGGGAACAACTGCGATAAGGCCGGTGCTACTGTATGCATCAGAGACTTGACTAGTTCGTGAGAAAGACATCAAAAGGTTGACCGTCTTTGATCACCGGGTCTCACGGAGTATTGTACGCATCTGGTGGAAAAACAGGGTGAGCAATGTTGAGGTCCGCCAGTTGTTTTTTGCAAGAAACTCTCCGGCGCCCCTTCTTCAGTGTCTGTTGAAGTTGAGTAGCTAAAATTGGTAAGATCATATACTCCGTACACCAGCTAACCGCCTTCCTCGGCGAGCGTTATACGCTGTAACTGCACCAAATTACGCGAAACCACGAGGTGTTCAATCTAGAGGTATAAAGAAATTGACCGAGAGACTTGGTCAAGTAGGTACGTGCCGTCTTCGTAGATAGGGCTCTCGTGCTAGTCCAAACCAATGTTTAGAGACTCTATCGGACTTGGCGCATTGTCAGAGTCAGTGCTGCCCATAGATTCGTTCTCTTGCGTGTAGCTGTTCATACTGCAATGCGATTAGCTTCATACACCTCGGTCTTGCTTCCATTCTGTTAATACCACATTTGAGTCTAACCGCATTTACTTATGATTCTTCATTTGTGCCATTGGCGACGCGAATCGTGGCAACTGCATCCACAGCACTTTGGTGCCTAGATCACGATTTAGCAACTACACTAAACTGAACTGAAACAACCGGGTAATCTTTAAGTACCATAGGTTATTTAGGAAAGAGAGATTCCCGATCGAACATGGCTCGCTTAACAGAAAAGCAAAATACTATCAAATCGTCATTATTCCTAATGTGAAAAGTCTGGTTGAAAGTGGTGCTTATTGCCTACAGTGCTTCTTAGGAAGCTAGTTTTCAGTCTACCGGCGTGCCTACTGTAACTGTGTTTTGACATTGCGTATGATACAAATACGAGCATATCGAAAACTGACTTCTCACGTGTACGTCAGTCTGGCTACTTTAATGGGAACATAGCTGCGATGAAATTGCAGTAGTTGTGCACCACGTGTACGTCCGTCCGCTAACGCGATGTCCATATATTTTTACCACATTAGACCCTGTACGTAACGGTAACTTCAATGCTACGGCTAAACATCGGTCAGTACAGAGCCCACAGGCATCCAGATTTCCGCGAAACATTCTGTCCCCAAACACTGACCAGAATATATCGAGCTTACAAGTATCCCTAGTCTGCGCCTCATCGCGTGAAGCGGTGTGGAAGTTGCGGTAGGCAGACGCCGCACTTGTGTGCGTAGTGCATTGTGTGAGATCCGATTGGATCTCCGGACTGCCGTTAGAATTCCTCGGGGTTTTCTCAGGGCGCGCAAAGTGCAGCAGTTTACGGTGCGTCCATGACAATCGGTAAGTACATCCCGGCCACACAATACTATATGGATCCAAACACAACGCAGAACACATGTCGCTAAACAGATGTGTTGAGAAACATCCGATTGGAATAAGTTAGGCTTTTCGGACTGGCACGAGTATTCTGCACTGAATGGTGCTACTCAGAAAGGCAATGGGCACAAGGTGAACGAATTATCCCTTGTGTTCAATGGTGAATGATAGTTAAATCCGTTACCGATGGTTAGGACATTAGTGTTGAGTTAGTCACTGTGTAGAGATGGTACTTATGGTTCGAATGAGCATATGCTGACTGCGCTGCGAGAAGATAGAGAGGATTATTCCAAATGACCCGGGAGCACCCGCGTCAAGCGCGTGAACTCATTGTTCTTGAAGGCGTCGCAATTCATTCGGACACTTCAGTCTTTCCATGGTACCAAAGTGTTGCCATAGGAAAGTCAGATTTATGTCGAAAGTTGTGGCTAAGTTCATTAAGCATACACCTTAGATTCAATGAGGTATGATTGTGGCATTTAATCAGATGACATTCAAATCACAGTGGCATTGCGTATTCGGTGCAGAATTTCATGTTACCACAAAGCAGATCTGTGGCGTGTTGAGAACAATCTGGGATCAAGACACCTTTGATCTTCTTATTCGTAAATGTCTTAGTTATAACGTTTTTTGGAATACAATGACTACCCATGAGTATAGGGATGCGAGTATCCAACTGGAGTTAAACCCTGGCCGTATGAAACGCCGCTAGACAGTCACCATGATCACATCCCGCCCGAAGTTGTTATCGCTCTATTAGGATGGCACGCTACAAGTTCCTTGTCCGCTGCCCTGTTCGGGTGGCTGTACCGCCTCTAGGGACCGAATGCTAGAATAGCTCACGAGACCGGGTGATTAAGAAAAAAGTGGGTACCATCAGGCAGAAGAACTGTAGACTCGTGGTTAGAAATACTGTTAAACAAAGTAGCGGCCTTTAATTTGTGTCTAACGTGTGAAGATGGAAGAAATTTCCAAACACAACCTGACCGACTTGCTCGCTATGTTCTGTCTGTTGGAAGAGTCCCACCAAATTCAAGCACTTAACTTGAAGAAGCAATGTATCGACATCCCCACCGAATTGTTGTGATAATACGTGATAGCTGCACGGAACAGCTTCTTAAAAATCAAAGAACCTGAAAATGCTTAGAGAAAGTTAATTACACACGTTCACTATATTGGTACAGTGAAACATGTTCTGAAAGGGCCAGTTTCCACATATTTGAAGACGGAATGATGGATACAGTGTATCTAGGCTAGTAAAACGAGCTCCCTTCAATGGGTTTTGTCATAGCGTTAAGAAATTACATACCAAGTATAGTTAATGCGACGGATAAACCAACCCGATGTAATATGAACCTATACTCTGATAGCCCTTTCCAGTGTCTATACATATTTTAAAAATGAAACTACTTTTTCTGGTTCTTTTTATTTACACAGAAGGAACATGCGTGGAAATGGAGAAAAGAATTCTGTGCGAGTGCCCCAAGGGATATCATCGAATTGAATGTGAGAAGATAAACGAGTCTAGTCCAGTGATGCATTCCAACTGTGCTATTCGCTATAACGCTCGTCCGCAAGAATTCAGAGAACTTGCGTTTAAGCAAAAACAACCCAACAGCCTAGTATACCTAGGTTTGAGCTTCCTAGGAATCATGACTGGCGTAGCCATTCTGTGCATCTCAGCATTCACAGTGGTGTGGACCTGCGCCGGGCGTCGGAAACGGCCAATATTGGATGCAGCGGCTTTCGCCTACCATAGCGTGAAGAACAAGCTAGACAATCAGAAATACCAGAATCCTTCGAGTGGTAAGGTTATGACTACGTTGAACAAGTGTGGAGATGATTTGTGCACAACTGACACACTTCCATCGGAACTTGAGATCACGCAATATCATGTCACAGAAGTGCAGAAACACAACACACTACTCTACCCAATCGGTTCACAGTTTGCTGTCGTCCACGGAATACTGCAGTGTAAGGCCAAGTTGGCGATGATACAATCAAGCACTGTTGTTCCGAATAATGAGTTACAGAAATACCATTCTCCTAATATGATGGACAAAATCGAAAAACCAAAGGCACGTCTTTGAGGGTACATGCTTTTTCCCATCGTCAATCATTCGGGGCACCGTTGAAGGTATTCGTGACGAAACTACCCATGGCTTGTCTATTTTTATTTCGCTTCCAACCAGATTCATTTGACATCACTGAACTGTCCATCTAGTATGACATAATTTCGTGGATTTCATTTGTTGTATACAGTGGATGTTGGGGAAAAGTCACGCAAAGTCTAGTGATAAGTAGAGCACGCAGATCTCCTCCAGCTCGATAAGGTAGTGAGTCCCGTAAGCTAGAGGACACAGCTTAACTGTTGAGTGATCAGAGTAGCTAAGCAGCGTCCCATAACGCATAGAGAACAGCTTCACGTTAACAAATACCAGGTCCGGATTTGCATTAGTTCTTGTGGGACATTCGGTGTGGCTCTCTCCCATCCCTGCACTCCACGACTGATGGTTTCGTTCTGGTTAGGACTCATCAGGTAGAGATAGCCGAGCCGGGAGTGGAACTTGGCGCATAGTGCTTTGTGGCTGTCGCCATGATCCCTAGGCATTGAGCTCCGCAAACAGTCTACGATGTTGTGAGAAAAGTGGTGTCAAGACGGCGAAAATCAGGAAAAGTACGTAGGAAAGGATGGACAAGTTCTATGACATCCACAGTAAACTCATTGTAAAATGCCTCCGTATCGGTTTTGCGACAACTGGGGCAAATATGGATGTTAGCTAGTAGGATTGATCGGTTCCAACTCACAAATCTTGAAAGCATCAAAGACCCACAAACAAGAAGCCACTGTTTTATTACTGCAACCCAGGTCAGTTATAGCGATGAACGTCGGACAAGTCGACTGATTTCCACTCCTGATCCGTTATGTGATGATCGCAGGGACAGTCGCATAATTAGCCACTGCAAAGGGAATGTGATACACAATCCACCTCGAGTTCATCACACTAATTGATGAAGATGTTCCCGCTCCGCACCACAGGGTGAAACGTACATGTTGGCGTGATGCATAGCTGTCTGCAGCACCAGAGAAGCTGAAAACGATGACGAGCCGCACATGGCAGCCTAAAACTTAAGCAGCTATCAACTGGCTACATAGATGCGAGAATGAAAGAAACAGTACAGAATAGGGAAGCATAATCAATGTAGCTTGGATAGTAACCGGACATGAATGGTGGAGGTAAAAACCGACAGCCGGACTCAAACATCTGAGGTGAGGAAATTATACTTTTCCAAACGAATACTAAAACGTAATGAGCTTTCCATTCGCGTACTAGGTTCAGGTGACGATTCAGTCTGGCTTTCTCAGCTCCAGTTACAAGTTCATCGGAGCACACACAGCATTCATGGTGATAGCGACGTAGGCACCATCTGAAACAAGACAGCTAGTGCTATCGAAGCACCAAATAGAAGAAGCCGGTATCGCAAAGCATGATATGTGTTAATGACCAGTGATGCATTGAATGCTACACTCGAATCGAAGTGTACATATGGGCACGTAATAACTTCCACCAGTAAGCTAAGTTAAAGGGTCATACGGTAGCCAGCTAATATACTGATGTAGCATCAGCGCTGACCCAGGGCTTGGACGGTTCCGATGTGCTTCTCAGGCAAGACCAGGAGCAAAATCAAAGTCGATTGACTAGAACTACAGCTCATGGTTTCGACGAAATCCGGGACAAATCCCCTTGAAGGTCACCCATGAAGGTGGGAACATTAGCACGTTAACGTTACTGATGGAATGCCATTTCTCTCGATTCCTCAGAAGATGATGGACGTATTTAAGACCGGATTATCAATACAATAGATACCAAGTGAGCCTAACGAGAATAACCCGTTTGTCTGTATCGCAGTGTCGAGAAATATAATAATAATAATAATAGTTATTTATATATCTATGAGTAGACGGTGATATAACAATGAGACCGTAAAGCCGGTTTCAAAGATCGGTGCAAAAGAAATTGCTTTGATCAGCTTCGATTTGCCAGCAGAAGCATTCCGGGCGTGGTGAGAATTCGGAAAGATAGCTTCCCAACCATTGCTTTCATCATGCATCCAAACATTGAGATAATATCGGACACCATGACCAATTGATGCTGAGTCGACATATCAGTCAATCCTAAAGATGAGTGCGTGGAAACACAATGACATTTGACTGTTAAGGAAATCGAGACTGACAAACTCTTCGCGTTGCCGACGATAGTGCTTAGACCGATTCTGTGACTAGTTGACAAGTCCTGAGGTAATAACCCGATGTCGCCGATGAATGCACATGCCTTATATGAAGGGACGGGAAAGAGAATGATGAAAGCTAACGGAATGCCAGCAGAGAAGAGGCTTTTATAACAGACTTTCCCGGAGAGCTGACCGGGATTTTATATGTTTTAGAAACTAGGCGACAATGAGTTGATAGCTAAGAACAGGTGTGGGTATTAGACAAATCATTTCTTTGCCGTGACGCAAAACTTGATCACCCGTTGCCAATTAGCACTTGTCAACCGAAAGGAAAATATGGAATCCTGTCCATTCATAATGAAGATCAGAAGCAGACGCTAGCGTCAAAGCTGGAAACAGTCATGAAGTGGTCACTCATTATAGAAGAGAGCTTGAGCGACCAGCACACGCGGTTGAGGCTAATAGATCAGGTAATGACGTAACAAATGCTCAGGCAAAAAAGAACTAAACGGAAATAAAGGTGACGACCGAATTTCCAACTGATCCAATAGAGGTACGCGGTAGCACCACAAATATTTCAGGTCATGCTGTCAGACACTGAGTCAGTACCTAGACCAGATTCTGTTAGGTCTACTCGAACTAGAGGCGCTGTTATGCTACCGATCTCGGGTTCATGATGAAATGAATGTTTACAGCTCAATTATGAGGCACTTGTCGACAGATGTTGTAACATGATGAATGAGATGTTGCTTCCAGCTCAGTAGATTTATCACACCCAGCGGAATTCAACTAACGGAAATAGAGGTCACAACAAGTGTTGATAAGTCTTGTCATTCCGCGCGCTTCTTGCCACCTTTGTGGTGAAGTACCACAACAGCTGCCAAATCCACCGTGGCAAGCCAAGTCTTTAGTCACGGACATCCGATGGTTTGGGGTTAGAGCAAATTTCCACAAGGTAGATATAATGGAATACTTTGGCACAATAAAACACCCGCGACGACTTAATGGTAACTGCACCTTCGCCCATGGGCTTATGTGTCAAGCTGAACACAAGGGCTTTACAGCCCAGTCGATGCAGGAAAGATAAGTGCCCTAACATTCACCAATCGTAACGCGTGAACAAACGAGGGACTGACAAAACTACGATAGTTCTTAATTCAACGTACCTCCTTGAACATTTATAGGAGGTGGAACACGAACATACAGCGAGTGCTACACGAAAAGAATGTAGTTTCGCATGACTTACGATCGGCTGTAATACGTGACCACGAATGCAAGGAAGACCGAATGCCTGGGCGCAATGTGGCCAAAGAACCGTGTATTAATGCTTGCATCGCAAGACATTCATTTAAGAAATATAAACTGGCAGCGTAGATACTGTGTGCCTCTGGCTATGCGCTTACCGATGTGTGAAGACAGTGCGAAGACAGCATACAGGAGACTTGGTTAGGAACACATTAAGACGCATGATAGTTTAAGTAACCTGAATGTAAACAAACCGACTAGATCAATCCAAAGAGTTGTAAATGGAAAAGGAGACCACTAAGATCAAATTATCAATAGCACGGTGGATATTGCAATATTGGTTCTTCGGAGGCTGGAACGACTGCAAGTAACTATCATCCTCCGAGGACGTCGGTGCGGTTTGTGGACTGATGACGAGGTGCACAGTCTAAAATAAGGTACAAAGGAATGATAATTGAAACTGACGAAAATCCCGTTGCGTTCACGAAAAGGCACAAGACTATAGAGCTATCGGTGATACATCCCGCTCGTTTGGGTAATAGAAGCACAAGCGCAGATTATAAAGTTTTATATAATCAAGAAAACCGGGTGTTCAAGAAAATTTACACTTCGAGAAGTCCATTTCCGGATGGGCCTCCATGAATTTTTTAAGCATCTCTTGCTTCTTCTGATCCTCGGAGGTTGGTAGACCCATTTCGCGCTGTCTCTGGTCGTACATCATCTTCTCAACCATCGATCGTGTCTCCCCATCCAGGTCAGATAGTTTGGAGTTCTCTGGTTGCACTTTGCGCGTATTAATTTCCGGCTCGCCGTCACAAATGCGAGTCCACCACTCCATTTTGTTTATTTTCTCTAAGCTGATGGAGATGATGAGACCATCTTCCAGCATCCACGAGCACTCCTCAACCTAAAGGGGAAGAGTAAAGAGGGTAACATTATGAGCACAATATGAAGACAGAATGAATGGCTGAGAAATTGATGGGCTGCAAATGTCAAACGTAAAAAAGTATAAATAAAGAAATGGTGTAGAAGGGGTCTCTTGTAAATCCATTTAACATCCAGCCGCACCGCTCGCAATGACCGAGGTTCCGTTCAAATAGAAAGGTGGTTCAAAAGAAGGTTGTGTGCAACAATCAGGTACCTCGGAACCTAACGGTGAAAATGCTGCTTACTTCCAGAGCATACCGTACCGATGGTTTTTATAATATAATCAAAATCAAACAAGACATGTTAAAAATGATAATTCACTAGAGTGGTAAAAGGGAAACCAGAAAAGCAGCGATATGAGTAAACACACATGTGCCTACCTAAAAGGGTATCAATGAAAATATGGAGAGAAATATAGCGACAAATAAACTATGCGCGATACGCTACGTGTTAACCGATGAACGTTGAGTAAGGCATCGGGAAACGCAGAAAGAAGTTTCAGAAGTTTCAGCCGAATGGAGTATATCAAGAGGGAATGAAGGGTTACTGTCAGAACAGCGCGGAGGCCAACTCAACAACCGTTTTCGAGTCAGAACAGATCTCTGTTCGTAACAGCAGAATGAAATGGATGATCCACAGGCCGATTTCGCAACATGCCAGCTGTAACTGAGAACACCTTAAGCACAGTAGTGAGTGATAGGACGACACTAGGTGGTAATCCGAATTCAAACGATAAGTCGTTTAGGCACTGCGTTACTGAGGAGTAAACTTGGAAAGTGCAAACGCGACCCCGTTGCATTGCGGAGTCAATTGAAAAAGGTGCATTAGTAAAATAGTAACTGGGAATTCCCAGGTAAATTAGGAAAGAGATATTCGAAACTGATTGCGGCACGACAACAGTTGAGAAATCTGAAGGTAAACACTTAGATACTTCGACGTAGTCTATGCAGCGGTGTTCAGTTTCGCGAATGATGAGAACAAAAGATTTGGAATTTATTAGACAATAACACCCGAAGGCGAGTTGAGAAAGTGTTGGATCTTCCACATTCTGTGCGAACTGATCCCATGCAAAAATAGAAATCAATGGCAAGTCGGAGGATCGTATATAACATGCTCAGCTACCTAAACCAAACCAGCGGTATGAAAACCAACGGATAGTTATATGTCAACCGGGAATGCTCAAGTTGCGGAGCAGCTGCCAAAATTGACAGTTCATTTCCGCACGACCAATGAGGAGGGAGACGCATGTAGCACTTGACCAGTCTGAGTGTTCCTAAAATAACTCGATATTTCGCCTGTACGTTATTGACCCAAATCGTTTTCCTAGTGAAATAAAGGGTCTTTCTGAAATGTTTTATGTCGTCACGGATAGAAACGCTATGAATGGCATCTAAGGCCCGAAAGCCAAATCAAAACTACTGTTATCGGATTCACAGAAAGCACGTCAGTCTAAACTTTGTGAAGCTGCTCAATGGCCGCCGGAATGCAGAGTCCGCATTGTGTGAGTATCATTTGTCACTAATAAGCAAAGTGAGCCAAATCCCGAGTGCAGGTCCCCACATTCACTAATCTGATTAGCTTAAGGCATCCCCACCACAATCGTTACTAGGTTCGTCGTTCCCTCGACACCCTGAACGACTACGTGATGCAGTACATCAATCTAGATGAATCATGAGATGAAGTTGGTTAGCATTGTTACAACGTATCAGGCGCATAGGCCAAAAACCGATCAGGTACTGAAAAAGTAGCTGAGCATCGATCAGAAGGCGTTAGAGCAAAATCCATAAGGCCTGGAGTGTCGCTATTGCCTGATATATGACATCGTGCGTCATAGCATAGAAATCCGACTCAAACTGATGCTATTAAAGCTAAACAAAGCGCCTCGGTTCGACGGTTTCCCTCGGTCGGTATTGAAAAATGGTGATAACCCACCTGTTGTTCGACTGACCGCTCTATACTCCACAAAGTGGTGCACTGTGGAAACGCCTTCAAGCTTGCGACTGGCATTCATTGTGCGGGAAATATTAAGGCAATAGTCTTATAGAGGTTGAGGTTAAAACGTTCGCTTGCACTATACTTAGAAAGCCGATGGAACGCACCTCTTGCATAATTATTATAATTATTGTTTATTATTATTATTATTATTATTCAAAACGTGACCAATATAAAATTGGCAGTACTACAACACACAGTTAACAATAACAATAGAAGGAAAAATAGGCAGTCAGTAGGTTTGGTAGGTTAATATGTTATCCCACCTTTTGACCATACATCAACGCCTCGTCAGATGCTGGAACGAGAATCACAAGAGTAACCTGATACCTTTGACCTGCCACAAACGACGAGTACTTATGAGTAAACTAAGCACACCTGTCTGCGGCGGTATTTATCGCATTCATTTTCCACTCATTTTAAAATCCAAACACTGAGACTAAGGAAGCAGTGTTAAGGTCCAGGAGAAACTAGCTTTTGAGCTCATCACGATAAGGTGCTACAAGGCCATCAGTTCTCCTCCCCACCTCAACTTCTGTGCTGCTTGCACCAATCTGAGTAAAGGTTTTCTAAAGAGACCAACAAGGAGTACATAGACGACATAGTGTCAGCAGCAGTTTCTTAAAAGCACTGTTGAGATGGCACACGCAGAGCGCTGAACTTTTATGGTGTACCAAGGGTAAAGTGTTATTACATGGATGGGTTCGTCATGATACCAACAACTACTAAAAATCCCTTGAAATGGACTATCGACGATTGCATCACTCCTAGTAGTTGATACAACGCAAAAGTCAGAGCGAATACAATATCCCGGATACATTATGCTGTATGAACAGTCAAAGCCGATGAACGGCCCAATAGAGGTAAAAGGTGTTGGCGTCCCATCTGATCCGCCGATCCGACATCGAACAAAGAACAATACGATTGCAAATGGAAATTGGGTGTTGCCCGTCCGAAAATACTGCGGGCAACACGCAAGTTCCATCTGCTTTGATTACGGTCCCTGTGATCGCAGTGATCAAGGTTCACTTCAATGTGAATCGCGGTCCACATTGAGATTGCGCGTCGCAATCCAATCACACAACGTGTAGTCCAAAACTGACCCTCCAATTAGTCATTTACCGTTGTGCCAAGCGTTGCCCACCGTGACCCGGTAGCCAAAAGGGGTAGAGGTTTCGGCTGCCATTCCAATGGTCGCTGGTTCGACGCCTGCTATCTCCACCTGATGTGATGAAATGAGATTGAAAGGCGTCGTGGTTTTGCAGTGTTTTCCGGTGGGCAACACCAAATTTCCATATGCTTTGAGTACGGTCCCAGTGATCGCCGTGACTAAGGTTCACTGCAATGTGAACCACAGTCCATTACATTGAGATTGCGCGTCGCAATCCAATCACCCAACGTGTAGTCCAAAATTGACCCTCCAACAATAAGATTGGTTAATAAAGGAGGAAACGGTGCGATTGCGTGCAATAAAAGGACCGAGTTGCTGATGGAAACATATTTCACCGTTTTAGGTAAGTTAGCAAACTAGAATTGTAAAGGACAAATCCCAAGTGTTTCTCTCTATAAAAACTACATTTCCTAACTGGCTTCTTTGTGCTTGAACTTCTAGGGTAGAGATAAACGGAACTAGAGCTCAATTCGGGTACGTGACAATTCACAACAGATGGTTTCATCAGCAGTGCAAATTGCGTAAGCAACGTCTGTCACATCAGCTAAGAATGTAATGTTGGGTTTTTGGAGCGCCCGTAGCGGTTGAGGCGAGTACAGTCATGCAGAAAATGCAGCCGCTGACAGTAGAAGAAATTCTGTTTCATATAGGTATCTGTCTATGTAGAAGAAATTCAAAAGGACGTACTCCATGGAAAAACATTGTCAGCCTTATAGTAAACGATACCGAGGCGACCGCGCACATAATGCAACCGAAAAGGGTGATGAAACAGTGGGGACGGCCAGAAATGCGATGGGAATGAGTCGTAGGCAGCCACTGGATAACTGAGCAGGTACAAGTGTATGACGAATAAACCACAAATGAAAGGCGGACACGAAAAACTGATGGCTGACCTGACTACTATTGAGCAAAGAAAAGAACAGTTCGCATGTTGTCGGTCATCGATGCTCATTCAACGTTTAATACACAAGAAAGTATATTGTGCGCGAATTATCTCAGGGACAATAACACAAAGCACAGGTGCTATATCCCGCCTCATCGAAGTAAGACCGAGCTGAATCAGATGAAGGATTAGTCTCCCACGGGTTCATTGTTAAAAGTGGACTAGATATGGTTAATGCACCAGATTGAAGTGGAAAAGAAAAATTTGGTTTTAGTCACTGTAGCCAAGATATAAAAATTGTCGAAGACTACTTGAGAGACAAAGAAGGTGTGTATTACCTGGTTGTCGTGAGTTAATGGCCAGTTCAAAAGCAGTCGCTGTGGAACTACATCAGATAGAGCGCTTCACGAGTCAACACAAGTTTCGGGCCTTCGGATTGTAGAAGAGGGTTAAGAAGACATGCCGATTTGCAAAGAGTGGGTGGGAGCGATCGGCCATCCCGAACATTCAGACAGCTGTATCACTACTGTTGGATGAATCATTGGGGTAGCGTAGTGCATGTGTTTTGAGTCCCTTGTCGCCTTAAAATACCCCACAAAACTATTAAAGAGGGGAACAGTTACTTTGCGTTTGATGGTTCGGCGATCAGTACTGCACTGAGGCTACGAAGTAAATGTTCTAGCGGACAACGCATCCTGGAGTATCTGAGACCATAAAACATTGCTGCTATGCTGTCGACTCCCTGAGCCTTTGGGTTAATGACAGATAATGAGTCCCAAAAAACACCAGAAGGATGAGAGCACGCAGTACCGAAGCTTGGCTACTATGTAACCATCGACAGTCAAATGTGGCCTAAGGATGGTGCGAGTTTCGCCCACTCCGTAAGCAGGCTCGAAGGCACGCACACGAATAATAAGGCAGATTTGTGACCCTT